GAGAGAGAGAGAGAGAGAGAGAGAGAGAGAGAGAGAGAGAGAGAGAGAGAGGTGCGCATCAAGGCCCAGAGAAGAGAGCACCAGACCCCCCAACGCCTGGGAGCGGAGCTGGGGAATGGGATGTGGCTGGCGAGCTGTCCTAGTGAAGAACTCAGATGAGCCTCCCAAAGGCTGCCCACTAAGATGGCTTTAGGAGCCCTTAAAGGTCGGCCCACTTCGGCTTTGGGGCGGAAACCGGTGACCTGGCAGGAGTGGACAAGCTGAGAGACTGGAGCCCAAGGTTTGGGAAGCTGGGAGCTTACTTGATTCAGGGGCCCTCTGCCTCGAGACAGACAAGGCCTAACCCTTCCGCACCTGCACCCTCTGCTCAAACTAAAGAGGCCTCTTCCCACTGCAGAGAAACTGCTTAGTGAACACACTGTCTCATTTCATGTCTCCAGTTCCCCGATCTGGGTAATCTGCCCCCGCAGAGCCTCTGACTAGCTAGAAGTCCATCCATAGACACAGTTCACGGTATTACTAACTGAGTCTCCTTTCTTGAAACCGCAATAGTTTTACCCCCAAGAACTTGAGCAAAAGATTGAAAGAGGCATATCAAAAGGCAGCTGTATTATTTTCCCAGGGGGATATCAGGTCTTCATAAGTTTTAATTCGCAAAATTTCTGCATCAGATAAAATGAGGGATTATTAGGATGGTCAGTATTGCTGTTGACTCAGTAAACCAAGTAAAAATACTTGGTCATATTTTTAGAGAATGACGGATCAAATTTGTTGTCTTTCATGGTGAAGGTGCGAAAGAGATTTCATTTAAGTAACTTTATTGGGTATCTACTGGGTGGAAGGTTATCTACACTGAGTTCTGGGGAATTACAATGGCATGTGAAATGATTTAAAAGCCTTTTGAACAGGTTTTATGTGCAAAATATTTGGGCAACTGGAGAATAAAAATAATGTTCTGTAATTAAAACTAATATTTTCAGATCATGTGTCTGCCAGGCTTATGCAAACTGTCAGCTATCGTAAGAAAAATTAAGAGGGCAGGAGGATGGTCACCCTATCCAGTCTCAAAAACATGTTTTTTGTTTTTTTAAAAGCAACATTCTTTATTTCTTAATTTAGTACATATTAAAAAAAATCCCGCTATGCTTGGCGCGAAAATTTACCAAACAGTTCCCACCACCTTTGCTTCGGTAATGAAGGAGAAGGTAAGACTTGGCTTCAAAGTGAACTTGCCCCAGATATCATCATCCCAGCAGTACTTTGGTGGGAGGGATAGCAAAATACAGAGATGTGATGGTCTGGACAAATAGTTAAGAGAGAGTTTGGTTCTACCTAACTGTGTTTGTTTCTTAGCTACCTCACTTGCTTTTGCTTTATTTTGTTCATGGCATTTTCTGCTTCAAGGTTTCCCAAGTAATGGAGCCTGGCAAAAGGTTTAGATAGAGTTTAGGGGGCTTTCTTCCATAGGTTCTGTTTACAATGGGGTCTGGACAGACGTTTAGGGAGGAGATTGCTACCTGTTCCAGGTGAAGACTGTCCAGCCACATTTCAGAGAAGGCTGGCGTTTCTACAGCACATTTACATACAATGGTGTATTTGAATCCAGCTGCAACCTCTGGGGGTAGTTACGAAAACAAGTATTATTATTCTAATTTTAGAGATTAAGAAGTAGATTAATGTCAAAAACTTTTAAGAGACTTGCCCAAGGTCAAACTGGAAGGTAGTGCTGGAGCCAATAAACCCATGCCTCCTAATTCCAAGGCTAGTGCTCTTTAGGCCACTTCTTTCCTCTGGTCTTCCGGAAGAAATCATATGCCTAGTCTTTCTCTCTTCCCTTTCCTCAACCTCTGCAAAGGGCCCTCTCTTCTCTGACACCTGCTGTTCTTTCAGCTGAGTCTCTTTTGTGATTGTACCCCAGGTTGAGGGGATTCTCCATACTCCAGTCAACAATACAATACTCACCCCTCCAGGGCCCTGAGCCCCTTGGTGCTTTGCTGCTAGTACAGCTGGGGGAGTAGCTGCTGGGCTGGCTTAGAGCCCTGCTGAAGTGCTCATCCACCACGGAGCTGATGTCCCCCTGGAAGTAAGTGAACAGGACACAGCGGGAGTTGATGTACTCGGCCTCTGGTGGCTGCTCTTTCTCTGGACTGCTCTCTTCTTCTTTTATACTGGCTGGAGTTTGGCTGGAGAACGAGGAGCTGCCGCTGCCTATACTGCTTGGGCTGGCGCTGCACTCCGGGGCTTCTTGCATTTTGGAGTAGTAGGCTAGTTTCTGCTCGGAGAGAGAAAGAACAGACCTGTCAATTTTAAAAGAGGTGGCAAATTAGCGTCAAGCTGCCATCTTTCATCCTGATTTAACCTCAAGAGATCCACTGGGAAATAGGCCTCAATGCCTATATCTAAATTGAGCGTTCTCCGCATAAACTAGCAACAAGCTGAGCCATACTGCCGCCAAAGCGGGCTTCTTGAGAGGCAAGTCCTGCCTGGGAGTCTTCCAGGCTGCAGGGAAAGCTCTTGGAAGATGCCGGGGTGAAGATTCCCATAAGATTCCCGTAAGCACAGGTTATGAGCTGAGTTTGACACAGCAGCGCAGCTCAGGACACACACACACACATATAAAATCAGGGCACCCAAGTCATATTAGCCTTACCTTGCCTGAGAAATGAGGATAGAAGATGCTGCGTTGAGCATCTCATAATGACCAGAAAAACCAAATAAAACAAAACCAGTCACTGCAAACCTGGAATGCACACGAAGAACTTTCTCAGACAGTTTGAGATAGTTCAGTTTAGGAATGAGTTGTGTGGCATGAAAATGTGGGACAACACCATGACTGGGAATCAATAAACATGAGCTGGTATTTGGTTACTCATTTATGTTTGTTTTTAAAAGTAAAAAACAAAAACCAAAGACTATGAGCATTTCTACACTCACCACCTTGAGTAAACCAGAAGTCAAAATAAGCAGAAGGGAGAATTTTAAGATTCAGGTTGTAAGGCCAGGTAAATTGTGATATCTGATAATAATTTGCAAACCAAATGCAGCTGCAGATAAGTTTCTTAGGAATGACCCATGAACATGAATGAAATGCTGCCCCAGATGGCCTCAAAGCAAGTCTGGATCATGCAAAAAATGAATGAAGGTCTTATGTGCAATACTTTGGACCAAGGCCGTAGAAAAGTACAGGAAGGGGCTCTGGCTATTCCTAAAATTAACATTGAGACTGAACAAACCCCAGATTGAAAAGTGAAAAGGGAGCAATAGGTAGGAAAACCAAACCAAAACCCAACCATTCATCATTAATCAACCCAGAAGTTTCTGCTTAGATGTTCTGAATTTCCAAGCAAAATTCGCCAAAGTGTCTACATTACTTCCAAACCTGGCCTGCATCCTGCACCCCAGCGTGCATGCATCTTGTTCTTTTTCAGAACGACTGCTACCTGACTGAGGAACTATTGGAGAAGAGAAATCTGCCTAGCGAAACGGAAGTTGTAGCGTTTGCGGCCAAGGGGGTTAAGTGGTCTTACAAATATTGAAGGCAGGGCTGCTACTCATTATCCAGAGAGGTGGACAATTATCTGTGAAGCTCTCCTCTGTGGGGGGTCAATCACATCCCCCTGTTACTCCCCAGAACGTTTTCAGGCGAAGATGTGTTTTGCATTGGTGCTCTTTGTAACGAATTCACTGGCGCGGGAATTGACTGGGGAAACGAAACGGAAACAAAACGATTCCTCGGGTAACTTGCAAGGATCAGAACGCAGACATTGTTTCTCCCAGACAGAAAAACAGAGACTGGCCTTGCTTTTGTTTTGTTGTCACTGTCACCTTTAAAACAACGTTTGCTTTGCCTGAACCTCCCAGAAGAAATCTGGGGTGCTTGGGAGTCTCAAAGAAAATCCAGCTAGCGCCATTCTCCTCTCGGTATTTCCGGGAAGACCCAGACACACATTACTCGGCAAGAGAGCCAACCTGAGAACGTGCGGGCTTGTAATTGCAAAACTTAAACTAGTAGTGACCGCCCGCTTCCGGGCGACGCCCGCCGCTAGCCAGGGCCGGCCGTTTCAGAGGAGCGCGCGCGGAGGCTCTGGGGGTCCAGGCGGTGTTGGGGACACTAAGGATGAGCCACCTGCCCCTGAGTCCTAGGCTCCCAGGAGACACGTACCTGGTGGTAGGGGGTGTAGGCGGCTGCGAAGTAGGGCTGCGGAGGACCATAGACTTGGTACATAACATCCAGACAGCTCATGGCTCCCCGACAGCGGAGGAGACGGCGGTTCAGCGTATTCTCACTCACTGCGGCTCGGCGGAGCGCCGGGAGGGTGCGTGGGGTCTCGAGTCATCGGCGGAGGAGCGCGGGGCGGCACGCTCCCGGGTCCCGGACCGCGCTCGTTCGCTCGCTGTCCCGGCGCCCGGGCGAGTCCAGCCGGGCCAGCGCTCCGGGTTGGTGTTGCCGGGCTCCCGCTAATGGGCATTTAAACCCCACGCCCGGCGGGCGTGCTGACGCCACTCAGGGGCCAGTGGGGGGCGGGGACTGGGGGGGCCAATGGGGAGCGAGGTGTAGGAGCCAGTGGGGCAGGGGCTGTGGTCCCGCGGCTCCCCAGAGGTGCGCCCGTGGCCCGTGGAGCCTGAGATTTCGCCCTTGAGCTTGGGGCCGAAGCCTCGCATTGCAAACCAGAAAGGGTTTCCCAGGCTAAACTAGAAAGGGGGTGTGTCCGTCGGGAGTGGGGGTGGGAGAAATGGGGTCCTTACTCGTGGAGGGAAAGAAATGTGGGGCGCGGGGTAGGCCTCGGGGGTGAGCCTGGACTCCGCCCTGGAGACGGCAGCCTGGGTGCTAGGGACTGGTGAGGTCCCACAGTCTGTCTGCTCGCGCCCCGGGGGTGCGCAGGGGGGCGTGACCCTGTCCCCAGGAGCTGCCTAGGGGTCCGAAGCGCGGCCGGAAGGCTGTCCCAGGAGTCCAGGCACGTCTCCCTGGCGCGGAGGAGCTCCCTCTGCGGGGAATGACGGTGGCTGCCGCCCGGCTGTCCCTCCGTGGCTCTTCGCAGACCCGGTCCTGCGCGGCGGGCTCGCTACACGTGCAGCTCACACTCAGGGCGTCCCTGGGGTTGCTCTCGAGCCCGACTTTGACCGCCCGGACCCGACCCGGCTCCGCCGGCGCCCCTGCTTCGCGGCCCGGGCCCCTCCCCGAGGACGCTGCTTTCGAGGAGTCGCGGAGGCCGTGGGCAGCGCTGACCCTCCCAGCTAGCTCGGCCGCTGTCTTTGAAGTTACGGACGCGCTCTGGGCCTGGGCTTCGTTGGTTCCCCAAATCGGCATCTTAGGAAAGACGAGGCGGGTCAGGAAGGGCTTTGCCCACTTCTCCGCCCAAACACTGCAGCTACGACTGGCGCACGCACGCATCTTAAGAGGTGAGAGGACTCACCGGTCGCGAAACAGCCCTGGGTCCTCTTCCCTCTAAGCAGTGGCTCTCAACCTTCCTCACGCCGCGACCCTGTCATACAGTGACCCCCCCCCCAACCATAAAATTATTTTCGTTGCTACTTCATAACTGTCATTTTGCTACTCTTAGGAATTGGGCGACCCAAAGGGGTCGCGACAGAGAGATTGAGAACCTGTACAGAGGATTCTCAACTCAGATCCGCTTTCAGTGACAACCGCCCCCTCCCCGTTCTCCAGCCTCCGGACCCAAGGAGGGGTCAGAGCGGTTGCTCAACGCTGTCCTGCAAGTTTATGAATGCATGGTGGCCAGGGTTCACTACCGCTGGGTGCAGTAGGGGAAAAGGCCTTTCCCGGAGAGTAGGAGCCAGAATTAGGGCGGGGTAGCGAGTGGTAGGGGTATCAGGGGTTGGGACCTTTGAGCGTCCAGACTCCAGAAGCCAACCCTTGTTAGTCCCCATTTTCAGTCCAATAAACAGTTTAACATCCATTCTCTGTAAATGACAAGGCTCAAGTAAAGGCATGCTTCAAGACATATCTGGTATTGAAACGTGGATCTTTGATATATTTTTAAAAACATTTTATTAGGGGCTCATACAACTCTTATCACAATCCATACACACATCAATTGTGTAAAGCGCATTTGTACTTCATTCTCAAAACATTTCCTCTCCACTTAAACCCCGACATTAGGTCCTCATTTTCCCCTCCCTCCCCGCTCCCCCCTCCCTCACGAGCCCTTGATAGTTTATAAATTGGTACTTTGTCATATCTTGCTCTGTCCGACATCTCCCCTCACCCACTTTTCTGTTGACCCAGGGAGGAGGTCACATATAGACCCTTGTAATCGGTTCCCTCCTTCCTGCCCACTCTCCCTTTACCCTCCCTGTTTCGCCACTCGCACCACTGGTCCTGTAGGGCTCATCTGCCCTGGATTCCCTGTATTTTCAGTTCCTATCTGTACCAGTGTACATCCTCTGGTCTAGCCAGACTTGCAAGGTGGAATTCGAGTTATGGTAGTGGGAGCGGGGAGGAAACATTTAGGAACTAGAGGAAAGTTGTATTTCTCATCGTTGTTACATTGCACCCTGACTAGCTCATCTCCTTGAAACCAACCCATTTCAGGGTTACAGTTTTAGCTTTGTCTGACTTATAAATGGGCAGTAAACTCTACGTCTCCATCTCAGTTAACAAATGGTTAGTTTCGTTGTCTTGAAAGATCGGGGTTGCTAGTTGTCTCCAAAGATCAGGGTTTGGGGGTGGAGAGAGGTGGGGGGGCGGTTGGGGTCGGCGGTGGGGGGAACGGTTCTTTAGTTAACCAAGAAGCAATTTACTTCCATGAAAAACTAAAATAAAAATAAACATGCTTCACCTCCTAGTCTGGTTCTACTCAAGCGTATTTTCCTGACTCCAGCCTTGGCGTGGAGCTCTGCTGGCTTCCGCAAACTGCAAAGGCGAAGGAGAAGGTCCCGCCACCTCCCAATCCGCTCGGCTGGAGTGGCCCAGGAAAGCCCCAAACTGCTCACTTTCCTCTAGGTACCCTTTTCCTCTGGGGCAAAAGAAGAAGCTTCAACAAAGAGCAACAGTTGACTCATCAGTGTGAGCGAGAGGGTGTAGGATCCTGTCTTTCTGGGCGCTAAGGCCCGCCCTCCCTGAGTGGGGACGGTTTCTGCCCTCCAGGGTGCCAGATCTGTGTGCCCGCCCCAAGACATCAGGTCCAAGGCTCCTGCCAGAACGTAAGGTACTGGCAGAGCACCAAGCTCCGAAGACGGTTCAGACTGGTCACCTCCCCTAAATTAGGGGCACACTCTGGATTAGAGGTTCGACTTGGGCTCTCTCCAAGCCCACTTCCCAGCCGGGCCAGCCATTAGGGAGGAGGTAGAATCCAGGCTCACGTTAGGGCTCCGATCTTCACACCGCTTCTCAGCCTCACTTTAATCGGGAGGATGCTGACTCTTAGTGACTCTATAGGACTCTTTAGAAATGTAACTCTGTAAGAGTAGAAAGTCCCATCTTTCTGCCGTGGAACTGCTGTTGGTGTCTAACTGCTGACCTTGCGGATTGCAGAGGATCCCATACCACCTAGGTACCACCAGGCTCCTCCCCTCTCCGCACATTAGCATTTTAAATTTGGCCCTCTTACTAGAAGAACTTTTGGTTTTCCCTCAGATTCAGGAAAAAAAATAACAACAACTCCTAATACATAAAGGCCCAGCAAAAAGTTAGTTATTTTTAAAAACGATTACAGAAGCAGTGATTTCCTATCTTTTGAGAAAGATCACGAAAAGAAACTTCTAATTCTAGTTGCCTAGTAAGGTTTCTGTTCTCAATATCCTCTTACTTGTGCGAACACCCAACAGCTTAGTGAAGGGCAGTGAGGCTATTGGCTGCCCAAAAAAGGAGCACAGAGATTCTGGCCAGTGAGCATCAATTCTGAATTTGGGAAGAAAAGCACACTCTGTCTTCTGAATCCTCCCTTCAAAACTAAGTGGAGGAATTCCAGTTTGACTTAATGGAAAACCCAAACCAAAATGAAAACAAAACAAATCCAAAGCCAGTTCTCTTCATACATATTCATGTTATTTCTAAGTAAGTATATGTTCTATGATCTGCTCTAATGGATAAATCAAATTGCTTACAATTATTTGCATACAGATCAGCTTGCTTTGTAATTATAAGCATATAAATCACATTACTTTGCAATTAATGAGCATATATTTGATTGTTCCAAACAACTTTATTTTTTACAAGTGTATCGTCTTACGTCATACACCAGTGAAATTTAGCTCAGGTGAGATAAGCACAACCTTCTGATTTAATTTTCCTTGCGCCTATACTAACATCCCTTTCTAGTTTGAAGATTAGGAAATGTATTTAAAATCAAATCCATCTTTCAGAAATGAGGCAATTTTAAAGGCTTTGTAAAATGATTAGTGAAAGATCTCATAACACAAATTCAGTTTATAAAATCCAAACATTTAAAAAGTGATACCCTTAAGTATCAAAAGAAAGACGGGTGAAATTTTAATATCAAATATGTCGATGTGTTATATTTTTACAGAAGAGAGAAATTTACACTTTCTGATATTTACTTGGATGCAAGGACAGAAAATAAAAGATGTAGCAATCACTTCATTTTGAGAAGAACTTGTTTTTTTTTCTCTACTTTGACTGGAACATTTTCTAATTCTGCCAGTAATTTTTGACCATCGGACTTTTCTCTCCTCTTTTTTTCTGTAAAGGACAGGGTCTTGAGGTGATGGCCTAGAAGCAATCAGATCTGGGAAACTCCTTTTGTAAGACAAGGGAACAGAGGAATTTTGCCCATTCAGGAGGTGTAAGTAGGATGAAGGATTTAAACTGTTGACATAGATAATTGGCAGCATTAGTGTTGATGCATCTCCAAACCTCTGTTTATAATCTTTGTTTCAGCAGGACACTGAAGGGAGTGCCAGGAGGCACGGCAATAACAGAGAGAAGATGAAGATTTCCACCTGACTGTGAAGTCTGTCACCTGGGTCCAGGGGTCTTGAAACAGTGTCAGAGCAACACACTCATAGGAAGCTTCTCTTCGCATACATGGAAGGGTTTTTAATTGACTACCTGTTTGTTATGTCTGACCTGCCATTAGTCTCTTTAATTATTGTATCTGTCTTAAAAAATAACATGAAATGTCTGACTCATATGTGATGTCTGTAGGAGGTTTTCCTAAATATCAGAGGACGTAGCCTGGCAGACCACAAAGTACACTTACTATGCCATTTACTTCTGTCATTAACTTCATATCATAATACTGTCAATTACATTCTGCAAGT